TTAGCCCTGTAAAGTGGAAAAAAAACAAAATAAGATTTCTTCCAACAACCGATTCTTTGAACTGCTTAGAAAGTTAATAACCGATTCTCCCGAATAGGTGCAAACTGGCTGAATCCCACCACTGAAGTGGATGCAGGAGCCTCAGGCTGCAGAACAACATGGCTGCAAGGAGATGCTGAGTGTTCTGAATGTTCAAGAGGAAAAGACTTTGGAATGCCCAAATGTAAATTCACTGGCTGCAAAGTTAATCCCAGGGCTTTCTATTAAAATCACTAGAGGAGGAGACTGAGGACAAAGTGCTTTATACACCAATAATCTTTATATATAGCACATCTGCAATATTATTAAATTCTGTATGGGAATATATAAGTCATCCTTCTCCATCTGCTGCTTTTCCTAACCTGTTAAAAATCTATCATGACTACCAGGAATCTGAGTCTTCTTGTCCTTACTCAATTGAAGGGCAAAAGCTATAATATCTCCTTTGTACAATCTCTGGATAATTTCATTTTGCTGAATTATAGTCCATCTGAAAGTGTCAAAGAAGCATTGCTACTGAATTATATAGTGATTCAATGAAAAGTTCTGACTTGGCAAAACATCTCCAATGCCTAACTTAGTTCCAAGATTTTAGTTCTTCAGCAATACACAAACAAGGTGCCCATTTGCTGCAGTTCAGCTTGTGTGCAATAATACTGAACAAAATTGTATAAAACTTTCATGTCCAATTCATCACCATAATGTGAAGCACATATATTTGCTCCTAAATATAGAACTGTGAGAATCTGTAGTTCTGCTATATTATTATGTAATTAGGAGATAACTAGTTTAAATGTTAAATTACACTGACAACAATGGTACATATTATTAAGACTATGGCTTTCCAGTTGTGACATATGGCTGTGAAAGCTGGATCATCAGAAAAGTTTAACCTGGACCACAAGAAGAACAATACTTGATGAAGTAAAATTAAGACTATTCAGTGCAAGCACAAATCAGAATGCTAAAGTTTAAATATTTTGGATACCAGTTGTGAAGGGTGAGTCACTATACAAGCCTCTAATTCTTGGAATAATAAAAGATAATTCCAAGAGTCTGACAGAAGACAAAATGACTAGATACTATCAACAGATAACATGAGCAAGAGCTTACAAGAATATAAAGACACAAAGGAAAAAGATTATCCTAGCAAAATGATGTCCATTAGGTTACAAAGACAGTTCTTTTTAGGATTAACCTGGTGTTTGGATTCAACAGGCAATACCAGGAAAAGAAGTTAGATTTGAAAACAAGCCAACCAAGCTCTCCCTCCCCACTGCTTAAAAACACATGGACTTGTCTCTAAATTTCCTAGGAATCAGGTTTGACTCCTTTTATTTTAAATTACCTTTTACTTCAGGGTAGGTAGGAAACCTTTTTCCCATAAGGGTTACAGAAAAGTTATGAGTGGGACCAAAGCTGTATTTTAGTTCTCCTTGGAAGACCCCTTTTTATTTTTACTTCTTCAAACTCAGGCAAATGCCAGCCGAGAGGCAGGGCATATCTTTCCAAACTAGAACTGACTGGTCACAGATGGCCTTTGTGAAAAAGAGGCTATAGGCTTTACTTGATCACATCTATATTTGTGGGCATACATGCCTACCTGGTTTTCTTTAAGGCTCAGCTGTCCCTGTTCTTTGTTGCCACAGAAAGTCCTGAAGCATCTCCAGACAGTTTCACCTGGGCGAACTCGCTGGACAAAATTGGCTGGGAAAAAGCCAATGCGGTCTCCCATCTTCCCCTAGATTGCAAAACAAAAATGTCACCACTATAGCACAAAGGTCTATGATAGTATTTGTGTTATACTTTTATATCTTGCTCATCAGCAGGCATAGAAACTTGGCCTTTTAAAAAGTATAAACCGAGACCTGTAATTCTCTGGATTTTAAATAAGAGCCATAGCAAGCAAAATTGGCCCTAGAGAATTGTTCTGCTTTATGATAAATACATGCATAGTCGTATATTTGCTGGGGTATTTTTTAACAGGCAATAAAGAAAAGTACTTTTGTTCATCAGATTTCTACTGGATTTTTCACAATGTAATTATAGTTTTTGTAATGGGTTTATGTTTTGAAATTTTTATTGCATGTTATGGTTGGAAAGCAGCTGCGAGGAGGGTTTTTATAAAGGCAAAATAGAAGTTTCTCTATTCAGAAATAAATATCTGAATCAAGTAAAACATTTGCAATTACATTTGCTTTTACACAATAAAGGTTGGGGAACCATCTTTACTGTTTGGTGAAGGTGAATCTTTAAAATACTGTTTTAGAGCTTCATCACTTTCTTTCTCAAAATCAGTTCTCCCCAACCTGTACTTTCCTAATTTGTTGGTACTGCATTTCCCAGAAGATCCAAACAGTGTCGCCTTTGTAAATTTTGGTCCCAGTATATGGTATTTTTAGAGTGATTGGTTGGAAAACTTGGCTGTATATCAGGGACTTCCAAACTTTTTCAGGAACAACATTCTGAATTCTTTGATTGCTAAGCAGATGGTCATGGGCAGGATGATAGGAGTAACTTCAAGGAATAAGGAATCTGACTAGAGCCCAGCGTGATTTGTTAGTTTTGTTTTTGCCATTCAAAGAACTACTCAATGATTCATTTTGGAATATCAGCAAATAGCCAAATCTGCAAAGATGAAGTCAGGAATGAATTAAGCTCAGAATGAATTAAGGATTGTGACAAAAGTCAAAAATAACAACAAAAAAAGCTTTTTTCATGTAAAAACAAGAAAAAAGTAAAGGAAACATTTGGTCTATTAGTGGTATAAGATGGCAAGAAGATAACAAGCAGTAGGGAGAAAGCAGAATTTGCTGAGTTTTTGCATCTGTCTTTACACAAAAGGGGAAAAAAACAGTCTATCCTATAAAAAAATATAATTGCAAAATTCAGATTAGGAATGTATGGTAAATCAAAATAAGCAAGACAATGGTAAGAGAATGTCTATCCACTTGAGATGAGTTCAAACCACTAGGACCAGCTGGATTAAACTTCAAGGTTCTGAAGTAATTGGCAGATATGATCACAGAACCACTGAATCATATCTTTCAACGATTCTGGAGCACTGGGGAACTAGAGGACTGGAAAAGGGCTGATATAGTTCCCATCTTCAAAAAAGGGGAAAATGGGTCCAGGAAACTCTGGACCTATCAGTCTGACATCTACACCTGGAAAGATTCTGGAAAAGATAATCAAGCAACTAATCTGTGAACACCTAGAGCCAAACAAAGTCATAATCAGAAGCCAACATGGGTTTATCAAAAACAGATCATGTCAGACAAATCTTATTGCATTTTTTGACAAAGTGACAAAATTACTGAAACAGTGAAATGTTTGGATATAATTTACTTGGACTTCAGTAAAGGATTTGATAAAGTAGACCACAGCCTATTACTCCACAAGGTAGGAAATAGTGGTCAGATCAAGGAGCCCCAACCCCCGGATCAGTACCAGTCTGTGGCCTGTTTATTTGTACATGAGTGGGAGCTAAGCTGCGCATGCAAAACTGTCCCTCTCTCCTGCCACCACCGCTGCTGTCAATCTGTGAACATAGAAACATTGGGGACCATTAGGTTAGACAGATCATTTTCAGATGGTTTGTAACTGGCTGATCAACCAAACACAATGTGTAGTCCTTGAGAACTGTTTCTACATGGAGGGAAGTATGCAGTGGAGTACCCCAAGGCTCTATTTTAGGCTCTGTACTCTTCAATATCTTCATAAATGGTTCATACAAGGTGAACTCATCACATTTGCAGATGACACCAAACTAGAAGGAATAGTCAATCCTCCAGAAGACAGGCTCAAGATACAGAAGGATCTTGATAGAAGGATCTTTAATTGTATTTGTATTGTATTGTATTTATTTGTCTTGTATGCCGCCCACTCCCGAAGGACTCCGGGCGGCTCACAATAGACAAGGGTAGGGGGAAGACTAGACAAAGACAACACTTTAAAAACAAAAACCGCAACATTCACAATTTCCATGGGGCTGGATGTTTCACAAGCCCCCCGGCCTGCTGGAGCAGCCAAGACTTGGTGGCTTTGCGGAAGGCCGGGAAGGTAGTAAGGGTCCGGATCTCGACAGGGAGATCATTCCAGAGGGCAGGAGCTGCAACAGAAAAGGCTCTCCCCTGGGGGGCCTCCAGCCGACATTGGCTGGTGGATGGAATCCGGAGGAGACCTAACCTGTGAGATCTAATCGGTCTATGGGAGGTAATCGGCAGGAGGCAGTCTCTCAGGTACCTCATCTTACAAAATAAAATTCAATGGTGAAAAAAGTAAAGTTTTACATTTAGGCAAGAAGAACCAAATGCATAGATATAAAACAGGTGGTACTTGCTGCAAGAGGATCTTCAAGTCTTAATCACTTAAATGTGAGCCAGCAGTATGCAGCAGCTGCCAAAAAAGCCAATGCAGTCCTAGGCTGCATTAAGAGAGATATAGAACAAAGATCATGCGAAGGGTTAATACCTCTATATAGTGCCTTGGTAAGGGCCTTTCCAACTCTGTTAGTATGTTATATACTGAAATAAATATATAAAAACCAGGGAACTATAGTATTCCTCCTGGCCTGCAAAACATACAAGACTTGTTTCAGTATTTTAGATAAGCATGGGCTGTCTTGGGTTGAGGAAATAAGACCCTTATACTTGTTTATAATTAAATTATCTAACTATAGTGATAGAATCTCCACTTTAGAATACCTAGGTATTGAGAATCTGGTCTTCTGTACCTGCAGACTTCCAGCTGGAATCTTCTTTCCATCCATCATCTATCTATCTATCTATCTATCTATCTATCTATCTATCTATCTATCTATCTATCTATCTATCTATCTATCTATCTATNTATCTATCTATCTATCTATCTATCTATCTATCTATCTATCTATCTATCTATCTATCTATCTATCTATCTATCATCTATCTATCACATTTCTGAATCACCCATCTCTTCAAAGATGGGCTTCATTGTGTAATCACAATGGGCTACAGATTTCCTCCCACTTGCCCGTATCTTTAGGATCCTGTCCCTTACTACCAATCAGGAAACTTCTGAAGACATAACTTTTCAAAAAGAGCTGAGGATATCATCACTGTAGTACAATAATTAAGATGCTAGTCTAAGATAAGGGAGTCAACTGGTTCAAGTATATGTAAGCTACGAAGCTCACGGGATGACTTTGGCCCAGTCCTTCTCTCTCAATTCAACCTACCTCATGAGTTGTTGTGGGGAAAATACAGGAGAGAAGGAGTGCTGCATAAGCTGCCTTGGGCTTCTGAATGAATAGCAGATTTAAAAAAATCAATTGATCACTCAGTCAATCAATTGGTCAAGCATATGTGGTGGCATTTGTTCATATAAGAAGTTGAGTTGCATATGGGAAATACATATATGTTCAGATCTCTATGTTCTACCATATATTCTGCTCACCTTCCACCAATCTTCATTAGAATCATCTATCAGCATGATTCGGTCTCCTGGCCTGCAGGGACAGACAAAGTCTAGTTTATCTCCAGCTGCCTTTTGGGTAGTGAGATGTAGGCAATGCCACAGTATAAAAATCACTGGGCAAAATAAATAGCCTACTAGAGGTACATGAGTCATAACTCTCAGGTGTCCCACCAGCAACCACAGCCTTAATCTTGAGTGGTAGCTCCTTTAAACTCCATCAGCAAGGTCTCACACTACAAGAACTGATTACTTTTGGCACTGGATTCCTCCCAGTGCCAACAAGAATGAAGCCCTGTGTGCTCTTTATAGCACTATCAATGACTTGCAAACTATCCACCCAGAGGGGTTTTCATTGTGGTAGGGGATTTCAAACATGCTAACTTGAAAGCAGCCCTCCCTAATTTCCATCAATATGTGGACTTTGCCACGGGATGGGAACATCTTGGACGTAGCTTATTCTAACATTGAGAAAGCATTTAAGGCTGTCCCTCGCCCCCATTCTGGCTCCTCAGATCATCTTTCTGTGATGCTTATGCCAGCATATAAGCCTTTGTTAATCAGAGAGAGACCAATTAGAAAACAAATGAGTGTGTGGCCAGCAGGAGCTATGGAAGCTCTATAAGATTGCTTTGAGTGCACTAATTGGAACCTATTTAAGGAGGCTGCAACCAATGGACAACATACTGATGTGAATAAATATGCTTCTACTGTGTCTGTCTGCTTATAAGCAAAAGTGTATGGAGAATGTCAGTGTTCTTTTGACATTCTAGCAAATGAGAAACCTTGGATGTCACAGGAGGTCCGTGCGATGTTGGAGGTGAGAAACACCACTTTCAAATCAGGTGATGTGGAAGCACTTAGAATAGCAAGAGCTGATTTGCGACGTGCTATAAAAACAGCAAAGTGGGCCTATAGTCAGAAACATNCCCCCCCCCCCAACATTGGTAGCTTAGGAGATCCACTGGGCAAGTAAACATTTCTTTTGGTTTTAACTCCCAAAAATCAGTATGGCATTATCAAGAAAAAAACATCTTTTCTCATAATGTAATTCTGATTATATTTCCTTCCCTTCACATCTTCTGTATCTCACCTTGTTTCTTGCTGCAGTTTATTCTGGAGAATTCTTATCAGATCACCTCTGTATTACCCCATTCATTAGGATTATTAATCAAGTAGGGTCAGTAGTATTTGGCCGCATGTTCTTTCTCCTCCCGTTTTCCATTTTTCTAAGCGATTTTATAGCCCCCACCAGCGATATTTTCAATGACGTTATTTACTGAGGAGTAATTGTATCATTTTTCACTAGAAAAGAAATAAACATCATGTGCTTCAATATGTTCCAGTTAACTCCAACATTCTGAATAAAACTTTTAAAGGAGAATAAAAGGGAAACCAATGAAGAAATTACATCTGCTACACAAATTAGTGCAGTAGGAAACCTAAACCTTCCAGATGGAAGATCTTATATTATGTCCTATGTACGTTCCTCCTGGCACTCTTCACATGCGGATCATAAGATTATGAATCTAATTTTTTAATCCTGACAACCAAGGAAAACTCCTCACGAATGCTGCTGTGGATGCTTTAAAATTTGCATGTTTATTGAGACAGTGGCTAAGCACTCAGCAAGTGCTTGGTTAGCTTGAGATAACCCCAAATTAGTGCACAAAAAGTGGAAAAGGTCTATCCAACAGTAATTCAAAAATAGTGCAAACATAACTATGTATAATAAAACAAAAAATGGGAGATTCATCTTCCAAATAGATTTTCCTACTGTTGGTCTCTCTCAAAACATTATTTATTTTGGAAAATTGATACTGCTGATAATTTCTTGTTGCTTATATAATCTACTTTCATGGTCCTGACCCAGAAAAGGCAATATAAGTGAGTCTGTGTAGGTGGAAGATTTATTGTGCCATACTTTAATATATATTGTCCAACAAATATTAAGTGCTTCTTTTTTCTCTACAGCTTCCACTTGGTGACACTGACATTTAAATACATTCTAATCTTTATTGTCTTTGTATTAGCTCCGCAAGCAATAAATTTCCCAAGCTAGACTCTGACTCATACATGCATTTACATTATTTGATTTCATTATGCTTAATTTTTGGCAACTGAATGGGTAAGCTCATTTGCTGAAAGCATTTCTAAAGATATAAACTTTCTGGTTATGGAATCTGGACATCATATTTGCAAGTCATTGCTTAGTGTTGCACAAATTCTATGATATAGATGTGAATCAGGCCAATATAGTGATATCTTTATGATATGGAAATACTTTGAACAATACTCTGATCTCAAGTAAAAAAGAAATACTGATTGATTTTTGAGACGGAATTGAGTAGCTTGCTAAAGACTTCTCTCGTGAGAAGATGGATTTGATTGCTAAGGAGCTAATTGATGAAAAGAAATTGTGGTGTGGTTTCCATCTAGTGCATGACTAAATCATCATCAGAATGTGAGAGACAGCTTAAATATGGAGGAGTTTAAAAGTCATCTCTAAATGCAACACCAGATTCTACCCCTAAATCAGTGTTTCTTCCTTGTAACAATTCCTACATTGCATGATATTTCTTTGGTCCCTATTGCTGAGTAATAACATAGTTTCAGATACAGTTCGCACACTTGACCAAATCTTCCTGATACATCATTTGTTTCTTTGTTGCATTGTGCATATGCCTATATTTTGCTCTTGTGATAACAAACAGGATTTGTTTATTGTAACAGCAGCCTTTCACCATAGATTATGGCAAAACCATATTTAGTGCGAGGATAACTTTTATGATATGAGTTTTAGCATTAGGTTAATAAAAGTATTCACTAATAGTCCTTATGTAAGGAACCAGGAAAATGCATTTCTACTCCCAAAAACAAAATAGAAAACATTTACTGAATATCATGAATGTGCTATGTATTGATCATCACCAAATCACCAAGACTTATTTTGAAAATACCTGATGAATTAAGCACTTAACTGTATATTTTGTATAATCTTTGGGCAATTTAAAGTATAAATAAAGAAAATATATTTCTGGAGTTTTGGGGGAAGTAAAGGAATACCTATTGCTAAGTTACTAATATGCTAGAGTCACAGCGTAACTCCTGGGAAAGAACTCTGTTTCCCTGGTTTGATTATGCAATATAAGAAAATAAGTGCTTAACCTAGGTAAATGAGCCATGCATGTACATCATTATTGAATGTATTTAGTAGTGTACTGGATCTGTTATACATACTATTGGTTAAATGGTGATCAATGGTTTATCTCACACAGAAGTATTTCATGTGAGTCATCTTTCTCATATCTAATATGTGGCCTGTTATATATTTCAACTGGGCCCTAGAAACCACAGGATTTAACAAGGCATCTCTTTTTAACTAGCAAATCAAGTGAAAAAATGCTAGTTTAGTCATACTAGGGATGATTATGCAAATATCATATTAAACAACTCTTTTTAAATCATAGTCTTTCTTTCTTTCTTTCCTTTTTTATAAAAATATATCTGCAAATCACATAGCTGAAAGCATGCTAGGAAACAAGGAAATCTGGAGTAACCCGGATCTTTGAACTCCTATGAGCAAAGCAGTAATATTCTCTGTTTAGTTCAGAAAAGCATCTGGCTAAAGAAGGTCCCTGAGAAATTATCAATGCTGCTATCAGTTATATGGTGGGTCAGCCACTACACACTGAGGAGCAAACATAGTTGTATGATTTCCCCAGGACCCAGGAAAGGACACAACAGAATTGCAAACCACTTCAAAATTAAGCAGAAGAGGCTCCAAAGTAAGACTCCTCAATATGTGACCAATAAAAGGCTGTATATAATTTCCTGGCCACATCATCTTTTTGACAGAAGGTGACACTAACTGTGAGCAAACAGTCACACAAATACAGAGAAAGAAAACTAACACAGAAACCATCACACCACATGGTCTTCTTAGTCAGAGAAGGGCTTTGCATTTCCATGGGTAGCTTGCATGCAACACAGCATTGTTGGGGAATTTCTGAAAATGGGAGGGGGTCAAGAGCCTCACAATAAGATAGATCCTTCCCAATAAATTAAGGCTAATTAATTGTTAACTGGCATCTACCGTCAGGGTCCAAAGACAAAACAGGGTGTGAATTACAGCAGAGGAAATCTCCCTCACATTCACAACACAGAGAGCTCTTCACCAAAGACCTTTACAGAGACTGCAGTGAATGTGATGAGAAACTAAGCCAAACAAGAGTGAATTTCCAGCCCCACATGGATAAAGGTATACAGCAAGTGGTACTCCTGCCAATTCCCCCTCAAGCCTCCTTTCATCCCTTCCACAAAAGCTGCTCGCAAGATCCAGTGGGAAGATTCTGTGAAACAGTGATTACCCAGGTGCTCCGATATGGGGTGGCCTAGAGGAACACAAGGCAGCGTCGCTCCCCTTGTAGGCGTCCTCTTTCTAGTGTATACTTCTCTCATTTTGCTCTTCATCTTTCATCTTCAAATTTCTGTCAGAGTATCAGCAGGCACCAGCCCACGTTTTTTGCCACTTGTCACCTTGATGAAACCTTCATTCTCTTTGGTCTTTCCCACACCAACACAGATCTAGGAGAATCAGAAGAAGGGGTGAGGAGAATCCTAAATATTATCAAAAGATTCAGAAATGGGAAAAGTACATGTATTATGAACTCCACAATGTGATATTTAAAGTATGCAATTGGAGTAATAAAATAAAAAAGTATTACTGTATTTTTCGGAGTATAAGATGCATAGGAGCATAAGACGCACCAAGGTTTTGAAAAGGCAAATTAAAAAAAGATTTTGCACTCTGCAAACCTCCCAAAAATGGCCTGTTTTTTTGCAAAAATGGGCCTGTTTTTGTTTTTTTCAAAAAAGGATATGAATAGCTCTTTGAAGACTTGTAGAGTGCTCGGGGGAGGGGATGGGGATGAGCAAAAAACGGTCTGTTTTTCGCAAAAACTGTCCCATTTTTTGTCAAAAAAATGCATGGATAGTCTTTAGAAGGCTTATAAAGTGCTCCTGGGGGCTGGAGGGGCCAAAATTGAGCAAAATGTGGCCCGTTTTTCACTCATTTTCTGCCCTCCCCAGCCCCCAGGAGCTCTCTGAAAGCCTTCTAAAAGCTGTGCGCGGCCATTTTGGTGAAGTGGCAGGGTTTCGGGAGGCCAAAAATGCTGTATTCAGTGTATAATACGCACCCACATTTTCAGCCTCTTTTTTGAGGGAAAAAGGTGCATCTTATACTCTGAAAAATACGGTACTTACTGTCTTGTTTGTGTGTTTTAGAGGCGTTTTTAAAAAAAAATTGGATTTTGGCTCAGTATTATTCAGTCACTTTTGATTCTAATTTATTATCAGATAGCTTTTTAATTCTGTCACAAAGCATTTGATAATAGTAGTATTCCAAAACTCATGCTTCTCATGGGCATTTTAAAGATCGTAGATCTTTAAACAAAAGGTTCTTTTCAGCAACAGTCTTCTTGTTCTGGCCAAGAAGTTGCACTTTTTAAAGTTAAACCATAAAGCTACAACCTTCATAGTAAAAATATCCAGAGGACTTTGGCTGTTTGTACGACTCATCATACACGCCATATCATATCTCACCAATTATGCAAAATTTCAAGTGGCAGATAAAGAGTGGTATATCCAACATATAAAAACATAACCAAACCTTTCTTTTCTGATCAGTGCCTATAATAACTGGGAGACTATTCAAGAAAGAGAAAGAGAAAGAGCACACATGACATATGTAAACGTCATAGCATAGCAATGTATGTATAGAAAAATAAAATAAAAATAAGAGACTGGCTCCAAAACAAAGAAGGGAAATGTATTGGATACACTTTTATATACCAGTCCCACTGCTGTAATAAAGAGAAGAGACTGGACCCCCTAATTTTGGATTAAATTTTATGAGACACTACAGTGCCTCTTATATGAAGTTTAAACTTAACTTTTGTTTGGATTTATGCTGTTAACACTCTTGTTAGTTATAAGGTTTTCCAACCCTTTGTGTAGGCTTCCACATATTAGAGAGCAAAACTCCAAGAAAATTCATTAATGGCTGAGAGTCCACCACAAGTTACATTTCTAGATATATTTCTATGTGACTCACCTAATAATAATAATAATAATAATAATAATAATAATAATAATANTTTTCTCCTTCTATCCTGACCACTTTTTACAGCAGCACAATTTGGACTGTTTTAACAACCTGCATCACTGTTTGGTTTGGTGGCAGCAGTGCCTCAGATAGAAAGTCCATTCAGAGAGTGGAAAGGACAGTTGAGAACATTATAGGAAACTCGCTTCTTGTCATTCAGGATATTGCTTATAAGTGCCATGTGCTTAGAGCTCAAAGCATTGTTAGAGACCCCACATACTCACTTTGCAGCCTGTTTCTGCTGCTCCACTCTGGGAGAAGATTTTGAAGTATTTCTAGAAGGACTACTAGATTCTGTAAAAGCTTTGTTCCCTATGCCATCTGTCTGGTAACTCACAATATTTGTTTCTCTCATATACATGTACATCTCATGTACATGTATACATCCAAATTAAACTGTGTTGTTTCTCCACGTCATATATGTGTACATATGCATAACTTTGTATTTGTTTGTTTGTTCATTCGTTCGTTCATTCATTCATTCATATTTATGTAGTGTATATTAGAGATGGAGACCCTTTGAGAACTGTATGCAATGAAATTTCATTTGAATGTATGTTGATAAGTATACATTCAAAGTGATAATAAAGGTATTCTAAATCTAAGACTACTTTATGCCTATCTCATGCTATGGATTTCTAGATTGGATATCTGAGAAAAAAGGGCATACTTACTTCAGTGGCAGATCATTGTTCTCCTGAGGCAGAAACTTGTATAGAGCAACGTAAGAATACATGGGTGAGACCTCTTTCCGTGTAGAGCCTTGAGATGGCTATTGGAAAAAGAAATAAGAAGAAGAAACATTGCAGTCTTGAGACACATAGTGTAATCTTTGGGGATCTAGTCTGAAGTAAACAGAAAAATACCATTTGATGCAAAGTGTTCTTACATTTTACAGTTTTTGCAAAATGCTATAACGGGACAGACAGATAAAGATCTTATGATTACCAGAACTTGCTACTTTCCATGCTAGAGATGGAAAGGTTTGTTGGAAAGAATTTGTGAAAGGGAAAGAGTGCAGTTGAGCGAAATGGGTCAGAAAAAGGGCAGAAGCCAGCACAAAAGTAAAGCTGTGTGAAAGAGTCACACACTCAGTTGACAAGGGCCTTTTTCCAGCCTTCTTCTATCCATCCTGAAATTGATTGTTTTGCTTGGCTGTATTTTTCACAACTGTCTTTGAAGAAAAAAAATCAGAACATATGCCAGTTGGTTTCTTTAAAAAGCAGAGCTCTGAACCTTTAAATTGTTTCTAGAATCATGGGAGATGGCATTTAAGCCACTGAATTCAACCCCCATTCAATATGAAAACCCAGATTAAAGCACTGATGACAAATATCTGACTCACACTGTCCAAACATGTTTAGCAAATGTCCCTAAGAAACTGAAGCCATTGCCGTCAAGAAATGTTCTTAACTTTCAAATAAAAGCTGTTTTCCTGACAGAGAACAGGTTATGTCTTTCTTCTGGATAAAATATCTCCAAAGAATGCAGTCATAACCTTCTCAGTCTTCATTTCCCAACATTAAACACAATTCACTTAATTGGGTCTAGCAGGAGTTATTTTGCCAATCATTCTCATTGTCCCTCGCTACATTTTCTTTAAGAAATTCTACACACACAGGAAATGTCTGTCTCCTTCATAACTCACTAAGGAAGTTTATTATAGTGGACCATCCATAAATAACTACACTTCGTCAAAAAAGGGTAGAGATTTCTGGATTGGGGTGCTAAATAATTATCCCAGAAGAGAAAATAATTAAGTAGTCTTATTTAAAAAAGGAAAGTTGTAGTATGTTGTTCCATGCAACTCTACTTTTAAATTGAACTACTGTACTAAACAATCTTTTCAGCTCTTGAATTTTAAAAAGGAATAAAAGCCAAATATAATTAAATAAAATTATAACATTATTACATGGAATTTCTCTCCTTCCTTGCTTTCTTCTTCCTCTAGAAAGAAAAATCTGAGGAAGGCACTAGATCCTACATTTTTGGGGTAATCTCTGGTTTTTCTCAATCTGGAAATGAAATGGGTATATTTTCTACCTGTTGCCCTGAGTTCTTTTCCTCCAATACAGGGTTCTCGCCTTCTGTGGCCATTGAGAAAACTGAAAGAAAGGAAGAAAAAAAAGCAGAGGATATGAAGGCTCATCACTCCAGTATGCAACAAAATATGTACTCTTTCTTTTCTTTTTTCCCAGAGAAGGATGCAATCCAACATCAGAGTTGACAAAAGATTCTGAAAATTCACTAAGAAACAATAACCAGAAGTCAGAGAAGCAGTCACTGACAAAAAATCAGGGCAAAATGATATTCTTCAGGTTGCACAGACTAGGGGGTAACAAAACTGGATTTTTGCGACCCCTTTTTTATTTGCCGGTAAATGGTCTTTGCTGCAATTAGAGGAGTGTTTGTATAGGGAGTTTTTTTTTTGGGGGGGGGGGGATTCCAAAATAGCCTCAGCCTCATCTTTAGCAAAACACTAAGAACTGAAGGTGTTCAAAGTCATAAGCCTTAATCTCTGAGCCAGTCTTGCCTTCCATAGTATAATTTATGACTTATAATTTTTAATTTGCATTAGAACAATTTTTGGAAGAGAATGTCTCCTTTTTTGAGATTGACTGTATCAACTTACCAAACAGTAAGCAAAGATGCAATCATTCAAAACAAAATATACAATACGTGAAATAAGACAGAATTAGAAAGAGCAAAGTTTCTTGTCTTTAGTAGAGCTACTTGGATATCTCCAGTGACTTCTGGGATGAATTTTATTTCCACCCCAGAACAAACCAAAAGAAGGGGATACATGCTCCCATGGAAATTCTGAATTACACAATAATTCTGTGTAAAAATGACACATAGGAAGGGAAAGGAAAACAAACAAAGAGGAAAACCAAAGTCAAAGCTGAGCTTTTGTTCTTTTTCACCTAATTCTGTGCACTTTGCAGAATGGGAGAGGGAAGGAGGGGGAGAAATGAAAGAGAGACAGAGCAAGAGAGACAGAGAGAGAAAGAGAGGGAGCAGGAGAGATGTGTGATTGCATTGACAGGCTGAGGTATCCCTCCTTTCATGTATTTACACATATATACATGTATGTGATGGGGTGAAGGTAAATTTTGGACAAGGTTAACAAAATAGGTTATTTTACATATGTTACATTGTAGGTGGGAATGGGAATTTTACTCACCATTATCAGTCATATTTTCCTCTGCTGTTGGTCCACTGGCTGTTGAGCCTTCTGTGTTCTGAACTAGTTCTTCCTTCTCATTCTGGAAGAAACAAATGCCTCTCTGAGATCAGCCAAGGTTGGCTGAGTGTTGCTACCTGCTTTGACTATTCATACCCTCAAATTAATCTTGACTCTTTATAGAATGAGTACCAATGAAAGAAACGTGTATTGCTTTTTTGACTTACTCATAGTTTCCATCTTTCTTCCTATCCTTTTTCACATATATTCATTTCCAATAAAATATTCTGCACTATCTTCTCTAGATTTCACAAATGGGCTTCCCTCAACCCCAATGTATTCATCAGGGACCTGTTAATGTTACCAAAATGAAATCTTTGAATTTAGGGACTATACCAGACTCTTGGTGGGGGATTCTGAGGTGCTGCTGAAGCTGGAGCGATTCATGTAGGCCAGTGAAGTGCCGTAGCGCAAAGTCTCATAAACGGGATCTACCTTTCCACTGGGGCCTGCTGGTAAACCAGATACATTTTAGAATTGGATTGTCATGCACAAAGGAGAAGCAAAGGAAGCTGTCATAAGCAGGGTCACTTTAACCTATTATTCTGTACTTTGCGAAGCATATGCTGTCCTGGATGATTTGTAAAATTCCTTGTGCAGTGAGCGAAATCTGTTCTCATCAGCCAGATTAACCAACCATACTTTCTAGTTACAATCTGGAAGGACAGATCTGAGTTGCAATAACCAGTCAAATTCTTCTACTTGGTTCCCTGATAGAGAATCTATTTGCTAAATTGGATCTGGGAGGCCTTTGAATTCCAAAATGAACCTCCCCCCACCCCAACCTTCCATGCAATTGTTCTGCCTCAATCATGGCGTTTTACTTGATGATCCCAGCATCATCATAATCTTCCATGTATAGCTCTCCTGCACTTTCTCGCTGCTTCTTCTGTCTTCTTTCTTACCCCTAAATATCCATTGAGGAGGCAGCAGAGGCAATTTGGAGGCTGGGTATCAGAAGATGAGAACTATGAAACCCCGCCCCTTTTTTTACATGCACTGCACATGGAAAGCCCTGGCTGGCAGTTCTAGGAGTCAGCAGCCTGGGAGCACCTCAACATCAACTTCCCATGATTGAGTTTCTGTCAGAAATTTTACTTTTCAGACTTTAGAAATGGCCACGTTATTACCTGCAGGAGGAGATTCCTTGGCTGGCACTGGTTGTGGCTGTGGTTCATGTAGCAGCAGAGGAGAACTAAGATTACGGCGGAAAGAGGTTGCCTGCTGAGGAATGAAGTACAGAAGAATATTTCACTTGCTGCTATAGAGTACTATGTGCTTGACCCTCTGCCATACTGCTGAGAGGGTGAATTAATATGGGGACCATGTTTGCTTCACTCTTGAAATGTTACAAAGAACTAGTTTATACTTTATTTCCTCTTTATATACTTAACGTTCAGAGAAATTTTAAGCTAAGTAAAACAGGAGAGGAAATAGTCTAGAACTCTGCACTTTGGCTTCTAAAAATGGTGATCCTTAGATTCACTCTTTGCTTCTAGAAATCTGGTATAGCAGACTGAGTCTGGTCTTAAACCAAGAAAATTCTTCACTCATTTACGAACATTGATCTTACAGAGCTGTTGGGAACCCACATCTACTGTTCTGTGATCCCTGGAGGAAACATGAAAATATAATCTAATAAAACAAAAGTTGTGAAATCTGAAATGTACAGAGAAGAGAAACTAGCTTACAGAAACTGGCTCTAAGCAGTACAACACTTTCGGTATCATAATGTCAATTGGTAAGCCATAGAAAACACATGTAATTCACATTGAGAAAACATTGAGAAAATCAAATGTAGTTAACTATAATACAAGATATGTGTATTATAATACTGCAGTTTATTCATTTTGCCTTTTGCACAACAAAATATATAATGCACGTTTAACATGTCAATAATGTTCTCAAATTAGAACAAATTATATTGTAAAGCTGATTTCCATTTTTCCTTTCTTAACCATATTCTCAAGAATACATATCACCTCTCCTTTTCTTAGTTTACTCTTCACACGGAGGAAGGACTGCAGTACAAGCAATTATTTGCATGCAGTGAAACACAATTCATTTAAGCATGATTTCATAAGCTACAATTTGTTAATACAAAAAAACAGAAACAGAGGAGGTGGATTGATAAATACCTTAAAATGTTTATTAGTGGTCAAGTGCTTTTTAGAATGTCCTTGAGTAAAAAAAAATTACAAGTGTCTAGGAATAAAATGTTAAATAACTTTCAATTTGAAGAAGGTGTAAGACAAATCAAGTGATTTTTTAATCAGAAAGACATATCGAGTAACAAAGAATTGAGATAATTGATTTCAAGAGACTTTATTTTGAGGAACATATTTTTTTAAACATGAGTGGGCTGTTTTTCTTGCATAATTTATAAAATAGTACTTCTGAACAGCTGTAACTAGCAGTAAATATAGAGAAAAATAAGGGTTGCGTGAAATATATTTTTGGCATGTTGCTTTATGTCTACTTTATGTTCATTGATTTATTTTTTGTACAATATTTTGGGGCAGTTTTTAAAATCAACCCTAGTTATACATGGTAACTAGATCTTACATAATAGGAATTTTCTTGAGTTGCCCAAAATTTAACTTAATTCAGCATTTGGAGAAATCTTCCTTTGCAGTTTGTCAACTAATTTTACAGTATATACTGCTTTTATATTTTGATGTTTTATTGTATATTGCTAAGAGTACTTCTCTGAGGAAGTTGGGTACCAGTAGTTCAGAAATGTGAAAAATAAATAAATAAATAAATAGTTTTTCACAATGGTCATCCAGGTGTCTCTGAGTACTTTTAAGTGGCAGAAGGAGACATATCCTCCCTTGCCCTTGTTCCCATAACCTGTTTGGAGACATATTGTCCCCAAGCCAGAGGCAACATTAAATCTGAAGATAACCTTGCTTTAAAGCCATTCATATTAGTAGCCATCACCATGCCATGAAGTAATGAATAACACATATTATGTACTATATGAAAACATGCTTTCATTTGCCTATTTTAAATTTCCTCAAGATTGCTTTATTGGATGACCTTTTCTCTTAGTGTTTTGAGAAAGGGAAAATATATTGTCTATTTTCTCCATGTCATGCTTAATTTTATATAAGCTCAGTCATATCCTTATGAGTCATTTTTTTCTAAGCTAAGTGTCTTAGATTTTACAGCCTTTCTTTGTATGGAAAATGTTAAAGACAACTGATTATCTTGATCTGCCTTGCCCTGCACTTCTTCAAGGTCCTAATTGTATAGAATATACCAGATATAGATATTCTAGACATTATAATGCTGGCTGTTTTATTTTCAATTCCCTATATTCTCACTCCTATCATAGAATATGCCTTTTGCAAAGCTGCTATGACAGATATCTATTCAGAAAAACCTGAATACCTTTTGCCTGATAAGCAATTCATATCAATCAATATCTGAAATTTGGAGAGGGTTCTGTGTTGCCTTAAGGTACATCACTTTACACTTACTTAAACTGAATATTTGTCATTCGAATGACCATTCACACAGTTATGAGAGATCCTTTTAGACATTTCACAACAACAGGGCTTTTTAAAACAACACAAAAATGATTTGTTTGCAAGAATAAGTCAGTGTTAAACAATCCTAGTCCTAGTCCTTTTAATACAGGATTTCATCCAAAATGCACACTTTGTAGGCAGAATCTACCCTCCTGTTTCTTTTTTCTTCATATCACTGCCAACCCTTCTCTTGCAGAATGTGTATACTACAGTCTATGGCACTGGTCATTCATTCATTCATTCATTCATCATTCTATTTATTTATTTATTTATTCATTTATTTATTTATTTATAGCTTGCTTTTATTATTTTTAGTCAAATAACTGAAGACAGTGAGCATATCCAACACACCTTCCTCCTTCTATTTTCCCCACAGCAACAATCCTGTGAGATGGTTTGGGCTGACAGTGATTGGCCTAAGTCACCCAATTAATTTTCACTTAATGGCCCTAATTGGGAACAGCAATTCCATCGTTAAGTGATGTAGTCATCAAGTGAAATATCACATAACTGCTTAGTAATGGCAATTCCAGCAATGCGACTGCACGAATCCCACACGATTGTTTGCAAGGGCCATTCATGGAAAAAGGTAGGGACCATCTCCGCTTCAACTTCCCCTACCCGCCTATCTCCCCCCTCTCTGCCCATTTGCCTGCCCTCTTATCTGCTGCACACACTGCCCAGCCTTTTGTATTGCTACACTGCATGCCAACCACTGTGAAGACGCAGTGGCTCAGTGGCTAAGACGCTGAGCTTGTTGATCAAAAAGGTCAGCAGTTCAGCGGTTCAAATCCCTAGTACCGCGTAACGGAGTGAACTCCCATTACTTGACTCAGCTTCTGCCAACCTAGCAGTTTGGAAGCATGTAAAAATGGAAGTAGAAAAAATATGGGCCACCTTTGGTAGGAAGGTAACAGTGCTCTGTGCGCCTTCGTTGTTTAGCCATGTCGGCCACATGACCACAGAGACGTCTTCAGACAGTGCTGGCTCTTCGGTTTTGAAATGGAGTTGAGCACCGCCCCCTAGAGTTGGGAACAACTAGCACATATGTGCAAGGGGAACCTTTAGCCTTTAATGCCACTACTATACTAGTTGGGGCCTTCTTTTATGACACCTGCTTTCACAGTAGTGCAATCAAGGCGTCTCTTGCTTCTGTTTTGAGTCCCAACCAGGAGTGCCATATCTGCACTGGCCAGAAACCTCCCCCCCCCCCGAAACAAGGCCAATGAAAGAAAGCCAGTGCCTGAAATAAGGATTTTGATAGCCGAGGCTTTTTTTTTTGTTCCAGCACAGATAGGACCTCAGACTGGTTGGGGGTCTCCTTTTGTGAAAGAAGGCCTGGCTGACCTGAGAAAAGGGGCCCTGACAGCCATATCAGTGGAGAATTTGGCTGGCATGCAAACCGAGGGCCTGGCTACAGCAGCTTGAAAGAAAGCAGCGTGAAACAAATCCAGCCCAATACAGCAATGGTATGCAGTGTGGCAACAGCTGGGGTGTTGATGTTGGTGGATGGCAAAACAAAATAGTCATAAATGCAGGTAGGCCCCAAGGGGACCAAATTCACATGACTGAGGGGGCACTGCAATCAACGGCTGGAACCTCTAGGCTGCACGTGAACTCCTTCATTCAGCACCATTGTAATGTCAAACAGTTGTTCAATAATTGGATGTTAAGTGAGGCCTATTTCTATTACATGAACCCTGTATAAACTGTAGAATAGAGTCTGTCCTCTCCCTCTATGGATCTTTCTATCCTAACCATGCATAGCTTTGCTTAGCTACTTACTGTCTTGCCCAGGCACTGCTGATGGGAAACTTCTTCTGAACACCACAGATGCACACTCGCTTTGCATGTCTTGCATCGTAGGCCTTGCTTGGAGTTTCCTAAAAGTGAAGCCAAGACACAAGGGAGCTAGAAGGTGTTTTGCTAAGAGAATAGATGTGTGTTGGTGGGAACAATATTGAGGGGCAGAACAAGAGAGAATGAAAATCAGAAATATATGCCTGATAGCAAGGGACAGGCTACATACTTTTCTCAAGTGAGGCAGATAAGATTCCCATCCTCCCTATTCAATGTATCTGCTGGGTGGTTTATTATGATCCAATCACCATGATTTCCCACTCCCCAAATCCTTATTTTCAGGGTTACTTTTCCCTTTGCGCTTACAACTGGTCACTTTATCACCACCACCACCTCCAAAGCTATTTACGGCCTGGTCTTGAAGTTACAATCACTGCCCCTATGATTGTTCATTCTTATGTTAGACACAGGGATGCTGTAGTGCCCTCCCACCTCCTTTTGCATTCCCCACACGATACCCTCTTCCTCCTCCTCACCCTGCGTCACTCATCACACCTTTCAAAGAGCTCCAGAGCTTGAGTTAAGGATGTGTGTGATGGGCATTGTGGGTGATGTGGGACAAGGAGAAGGATATGGGGCCTGGTGGGATGGGAAATAGACCCAAGCCCTATAGGGACTCTTGAGGGGCATGGGGAAAGTCTGAAGTGCCTCAGTGGGTAGGGTGGGGCTTCTCTGGCAATTCTGAGGGATCCTATGCTCCAATCAACAACCCACATTCATTTAATGACTGCATCAGGAAGAAGAGGGATGTGGGGTGTCATACATGAGACGAACATATGGCTGCTTCACTTAACAGCCATCACAACTTCCGAAACAAACAATACTGGCCAGCAAAAGAAAGTAAACTACACAGCCTATAAGGCAGTGATGGCAAACCTTTTTGTAAAGGCATACCAAGATTGTGTGCGCGCATATCCACACCTGCAATACAGTGCACTTCACCGACCTGCACATATCCGTGTGACCCCTCCGTACTTGCACACATCACCCCCCACCAAGGCTCCAGAAGCTTTCCTGAAGCCTGGAGAGGATGAAAACTGTCTCCCCCTGGAGGCCCTCCGGAATCCGGAAACGGATTGTTTCTGAACTTCCGGTTGGCCTGTTGGGCCCGTTTTTCACCCCCAGGCTCTGGAGAGTTTCCTGAAACTGGGGAGGGCAAAAAAAGTTCAGAAATGAACTTCTGGTTGGCCCATTGGGCCTGTTTGGTACCCTCCCCGAGCTCCGGAGGCTTTACTGAAGCCCGGCCCTCCGGAAGACCAGAAATCAGCTGGCCAGTGCACGCATGCGCACCAGAGCTGATGGCTCACATGCTAGCAAATATGGCTCCCACCTCCAATTTCTTGTTGCTAGCCTGCTTAAAAGAAAAATAAATATCAGGCCTGTGGGCATCTCCTTGCTCCTTCATGGGCTGTGCTCCAGCTGTTCTATTTTTTTCTCTGCAGGCTCCACTCAAACAGATGAGGTACTTCAACAGCCAATTTCTGCCAATGCCTATTTTTCCAAGCTTTATCTAGAATCAATGCCTAATCCTTATTAAGTGTAAACCTATTTGAGGAAAGGGAGGAGGGACATCCTGATCTGGAAGTACCCTATTTCCCCCCAAATAAGGCCTCCTTGGATAATAAGCCCAATTAGACTTTTGAATGCATGCACTAAAATAACCCCTTCCCTGAAAATAAGCCCTCCCCTGAAAATACTATAACACAGCAGCAGCCATGAAGTGACCACACTCTCCGCCTCTTGCACCTCAAAAATAATAAGACCTCCCCAAAAATAAGGCCAAGTGCTTATTTCTGGGATCAAACGAATATAAGATCCTGTCTTATTTTCACAGAAACATAGTAATTCAGGATTTAGGGTAATCCAGACATGGACAGAAAAAGAATGACCAGAATTCAGCTCCTGAATGTTCATAGCAACAACCGGCAAGCATACTCAAGAAGGTGGGGGACAAGGCGTTCAGTTGCTTACCTACAATCAGCTGATGGCAAATTTCACAAGGATTGTGTTTCTTGAAGATGTGTTCCTGGAAGCTGTGAGTCTTCATGGGTTTGAGGGTCCCCAGGGACTTGTGAAGGACTCTGGGGGAGAATTCTACTTCAGAGGGAGCTGGGGGTGGAGAAGGGGGTGGCACGGAATCAGGAGGGCTGAGCAGGACATCGGAGGGCAGCTTGAACTCATTACCAGAGCGCAGAAAAAAGTTCTCCACGCTCTTGCTGCGCAGGATGGTCTTGAGTGACAGAGAACGTTTGAACCTTTGTAACTAGCAGACAAGGGGAAAGAAAAAGGGAAGAAATAACAGCAGTCAATGGGGAGGAGGGGATATTGTATTAGCATCACAAACTTTGCTCAGTATCCACTGGAAGTGATAAAATATTCAATATAATTAATGGATTTTGTGCTTTCAAATAGCAATAACACTTGTATATCGCTCCATAGTGCTTTATAGCACTCTCTGAGTGGTTTACAACATTGGCATATTTCCCCGCAACAATTTGGGTCCTCACTTTACCTACCTCAAAAGGATTGAGGACTGAGTCAACCTTGAGTCAGTCAGGATCGAACTCCTGGATGTGATCAGAGTTAGCCTGCAATACTACATTATAACCACTGCACTACCATGCCTCTAGTGTTGACTCCTAACAATCGCTTGGATTAGTCTGTACAGTTTTCTTTGTCAAGTTTTTGGGAAATGGTTTGTCCTTGGCTTCTTTCTAGGGCTGAGAGAAAATGATGGATGATTAACGGCTTTGTGATTAACGTGGGACTAGAACCACAATCTCCTGTTTTCTAGCTGGTGCCTTAATTACTACATCAAACAGAGCTCTTGTAATTCATAAACCTCATTTTTTGCTTTGCCCTTCAATCAACATTGCTGCAGAATTCCCAAAAGGAACTGAAGGGAATGCTTTCGAGGAATAGTCAAAACAAAAACTTAACCCATTTCTCCTTCTCCCCATTCCTGATGATGTTACCTAGCCTGGTAATGAAACATCTGCAAGGAAACAACCAAGCTCAGAGAGTATCAAGGACCTCACAGAAGAGAAAAGCTTCAGCCTCATTCCACATTTACCAGAGAAGCCTTAAATAAATAATCTAGAGGAGGGCTCATGGGAGTCAAGAAAAGGTTTCTATTTTAAAAAGCAAGCAAAAAGTACTTTAATCTGATTTGGAAGACAGGCTGCTATGGGGGTAGGGAGGGAGAGAGGAAAAAAGGGCAAAGAAGAGATTGTTTAAGGCTGCAGGCCATTTATGTGCTAGAAAAACCATCCTCTCTTTACTGTTTTACTGGGGAAAAGAGGACTGTCAACAGTGGAACAAGTTAGTTAACATATTGTTAGGAAAATTTTCCACTGACCTGCTGTTGTGAGAATAGGACATACAGAGCAGAAGCCATGACTAACTGCATTCAAGGTACAGCATCTAGGCTTGGAGGAAAAACTGCTCAATGTAACAACAACCCATTGGCTAACATGTGGGCCTAGGGGACTACTACAGATGCTCCAATCTTTAGGCATGACTGGAAATGAGTTAGCTTACAGCTGGCTAGCCCACAACCCCATTTCATTGTTCTTTTCATTATCTCTTTCTGGCGAGTGAGAGCTGAATCCATTTTGCTGTTGAAGCAGCTATACTTGCACCAAGTATGGCCAACGTAAGAGAATGAGAATGCTTCATGAATAATTTATAGTATATCTAACAATTTTAGTAGTTGAATACACCAAGCCTTCTTTGTTTTATAATAACTTAGCAATTTGGCCTCTTACTTTTCGGTTCCAACTATGCGTATTATAATCTGGCTCACATTAACTTTTCTGTGAAATTTGTTTACTAATACCTTTTCCACTCTCCTTATATAATGCCAGTTTTGCTTTGCTACACAATTCCAGCCAGTTACTGCAGTAAAAGGACTGATATTAGTGGCACCCATAACAAGCACCAGCAATGCGGCATAATCTTTCCATCATCCCCAACCACCATGGGAAAGTATTGGGTCTGTAATTAGGGAAAAGCCATGACTAAAGTTATAATATGGGGGAAACTAATCTTGAAACAATTTTTAAACAAATAAATTCAAAATCATTTAAACTGCTAAGAATTAGAAGTGCTCAAGGATACCATCTGAACACCCAAGATAAACATAGCCAACAGCTCATATTATTAGGATTCAGGAGGTTGCGATAAAGTGAAACAAATGAATGAAGACAGAGCAAAATGCTGGAAGTAATAACTTTGTAATTGGATGGGTGGATGCAGAACAGAGGAATAAGGGTGGAAAGAGGAAGAAAGGGAAAATAAGGTATTGAGATCACTGGATGAGATTCAGAGCATTTTGGAAGACAAAGTGCAAGGACGTATGAAATGTGACTTTCTGGTACGAGGGAAAGGTCACTTCAGAGAGTGGAAAGCTGGGGACCTACAGGTACAGGGATTCTTCTAGATACTGTGGGAAGTTATCATCCAGCCCTCTCCCAGAAAAATGAAATATTCTAGGAAATATTGAAAAGGCAGAATATTTCTCTGGATGTGAGGAGAAAGAAACATGTTTTAAGAGACAGAAAAGTTTCCTTTAGCTTCCTGCCCATCCACACTTTGTCAATAGGCCATTAAGAAGGCCAGGCTAGCCCACTTTACATAATAAAGACTTCTCCACTGCAGCTGTAGGGGGAAGGGATATTACTCAACTCTCCACATGGCTTCTGAGAACTCATCTATGGATTCAAAACACAGCCTAGAGAGTTGCCCCCTGCATGGCCCCATGGGAGTCTGACAACCAATCAAAATACATTTCTTACACAGGAAACAGAGAGGTGGGACTGAACAGGCTATAAAAAGCCTAGCCTCCTTCAGCCCTTCTCTTCTTCTCCACCAACATTGAAGCATGTGGTC